TTCACTGCATAGCCCTGTCTCCTGAGTGCTGAAATAATAGGTGTATAACACCTTGTCTGTGTAGGGTTTTCTTAATTACACATTTTAAAAATTATTTTTATTTATTTCTTTCATTTTATGTGTATGAGTTTATTGCCTGAATGTATGTGAGTGCATCTGTGTCGTGCAATGCCATGGAGATCGGAAGAGGGTGTCGGATTCCCCTGGAACTGGAGTTAAAGATGGTGAACAGTTCATAGCTGCCATGTGGGTGCTGGGAATTGAACCTGGGTTCTCTGCAAGAGCAGTCAGTGCTCTTAGCCACTAAGCCATCTCTCCAGCCCCTTAATCACACATTTTTTAAAATTTACTTTATTTATGTGTGTATGAGTATTTTGCCTGCATGTATGCAAGTGTAGTGCATGTGTACAATGCCTATGGCGGTTAGAAGAGGGCAATGGATTCCCTGAAACTGGAGTTATGGATGGTACTAAGCCACCATATGGGTGCTGGGAACTGAACTCAGGCCCTCTGAAAGAATAGCAAGTGCTCTTAACTGCTGCTCCATCTCTCCAGCCCATAATTCCTTTATTTATGTGAGACTTTACAAAGCAAACTCTGGCTTCACTCAAATAAATGCAGCTTGTTTTCACATTTTATGCTTGCTCTGTAAAACTTGGCAATGTGTATTTCTGAAGCTTTAAAATATAAGCCCCTGGACTAGAGAGATGGCTCTGTGGTTAAGAGCACTTCCTGCTCTTCTAGAAGACCGACCTGAGTTTGGTTCCCAACATCCATACTTGGGGCAGTTCACAACCACCTGTAACTCAAGCTCAGGGGATTCCACGCCTCTTTCCTCCATGGAAACCTGCACTCTCTGGCACATACCTACATGCAGACACATATATACATAATTAAAAACAAGTATTAAAAATTTAATCCCATTCATCCAGGAAATAAATAACCTTCATACCTTTCCTTCTTAAGCCCCAGTCACCTTATCTGCAGGAAGAATATGGGTTCAATTACTGTATTCTGTGAATGTTAGCACCAGCTAAAAAATCAATCAAGCTCTGAAAATTCTTCATAAATATTACTGCAACAATTCAGCCATTTATTCCATTGGTTTATTTCAAATAATAGTTTCTCATAAGAGAAAAAGTTCAGTCATTTTGAGCTCCCTTAAATTCATTGCTTTATGAATCTGTGATTGCTTTCATATCCTAATTAAATGGCCACATCTGTCTTGCTTTTGTTTATAAAGATTAGTTTTAGATTGCACTGGATGAGCACTATTCGAGCTCGGCTGTTCAGTGCTGTGTGTGGTATTTATTATGAACCATTTACCTTCGTGGTATAGGACATCCTTTCTGTGGCAGGCAGTGGAAAGGGGTATTCAATGAAAGGACTGTAAGCCTTGTCTTTGAGATAAGGTTTCATCTGGAAGAGAAGCTGACAAAGACAGCACGTGCCTCGGTTACTCTAGAAGCTGAGAGACCTTTCCAGCTGTTTACACTTTGGATGGAAAACAACAATTTGACATAGACGGACAGCGTGATGCCACCATCTGCGTAAAAGGCTACATGTGGTGCATACCCAGTGTAAAAGGCTACATGTGGTGCATGCCCAGTGCGGGGAGTACTTCCTCCCCCTACCCCCTCAGATTGCCGGAGATAAGGCTTGAACTTTGCACTTGCAAATATCACTGCTGAGTTGCTGGGTGGTTGGTTTTTTTTTTTTTTTTTTTTTTTTTCCTATTATTCTTCTTTCTGAAGGTTCTCTAGCAACTGATTTCCTGTAACAATCCAAATGCTAGGCAGAGAATATTCAGTCATCAGATGCATTAAGTTTGAGTTGAAGCCAGTCTTTGCACTTGGATTGTTCTTTATTTTGAAAGCAATAGAAAGCATTAGGTGTGTGTGTGTGTGTGTGTGTGTGTGTGTGTGTGTGTGTGTATGTATGTGTGTGTGCGCGCACGCGCGCGCTCGTGTGTGTTTCCCGCTTGCAGTGGGAAGATAAGAAGAACCTCTGCCGGGAGTCTACTGGGGCAGGGTGTGGAAGCCACTGAGGAAGAAGGGGACTGGAAGAGGGGCTTCCTGGAGCATGGATTGCAAAGGTGCTGGGATTCTCCAGGGCTCGGCGAGCTCTGAGTGTCTGTGCCCCAGGCCGCAGCTGCAGGAGATTAAGGCGCTATCCGGCTAATGAAGGCCACCTGGATCAGCCTTCTGAAAAGAGCCAAGGGAGGAAGGCTGAAGAATTCGGATATCTGTGTAAGCACGAAGGCTTTTCTGGCTGGGGGAGATGCTGTCTTTGCTTTTCTGTTGTTGCAGCAGCGAGTGCCTGCGGAGAAGGTGGTTTGCTGTAGTTAACGTGCTCGCGATCAAGAGAGGGAGCTCAGAGATTCTTGTCATTTTTCTGAGCTCCTTTTCGTGCGTCGTGATTTATCGCCAAATGAAATCTCTCAGGCTGGTGTTTTCCGTAGCCAGCTCTTACTATCTACTTAAAGGTTTTCCTAAAGGTCCTTCTGGAAGAGGGAGAGGAAACTAGCCCTGTAGTCTGATAAGGCAGCTGGTGTAGGAAAAGCCAGAAAAGCATTAAGATTTTAATGGGAGGGTGTATCATGGCTGTGAGATGATGGAGAGTTCAAGTTTATAACTCATCAGAATTCCTTCTATGCTTTTTGTCAGGCTACTGTTTCTCTGGTTGTAAACACTTGCTCCAGCTCTCAGACTGCTCTTGAAGTTATCCTTGAAACCCATCAGTGCCCTTCAGCTCTGCACTGCACCATGAAGCTGGTTTAATGAGAAAGGAACTGTTTGTGTCTTGCGCAAAGGGTAGTTTAGAATATGAGGCTGGGGAAGGAATGATGTCTTGGTCCCCACAACTATCCTGGCGAACAGTGGGCAAAGCAAAGCATGTTTTTCTAGGTGGGTTACTGCAAAATGGATTATTTTCTCCTCTTTTCAGGAACGTATAGCATAATCCAAGAAGCAAGCTACAACACTAATGAGGCTTTTCCGGTGTGCTCGTCATATCTCAGATCTATTTTAAAGTGTACACTTTCCTCTTTAGGGTTCGGCAGACTCCTACACCAGCCGCCCATCCGATTCAGATGTGTCTTTGGAAGAAGATCGGGAGGCAGTGCGCAGAGAAGCTGAGCGGCAGGCCCAGGCACAATTGGAGAAAGCAAAGGTAAAACCAGGTTTCTTTGGGCGGTTGTGCTGTGCCTGTGAGAGCTCACCAGTAGAAGCAGCCCCTGAAGCTCACATTTGGTCTTCTAGAGTAGTCCATCGTCAGGTTTAACACAGACACCATAGTGAAGGGGAAATGTGATATGTAACCATAGGCTTTACTTTTGTGTTGTTTTATAATCCAAGCAACTTGTGTCCATGGTGGGTGGTTAATTTAAACACATACAAAAGGATCTCTAAATATACAAAGAGGAAAAACTGCATGTCATATCAAAATATTTTGCTTCATCTTCCCAGTAAACCACCTCTCTGTTTACAAAACCAAACTTTCTTGATGCTAAGGTTTATTTCCTTAGTCTAGAACAATCCTAAATTTCACCTGACAGTTCTTTTATAATGCTATTCTCTTATATTTAAAAAGTGGTCTATATGGTACTTTTGAAAAAGTAACAAAAGATTTCAATCATTTTTAAAAGGCCTTCCCTGGCAAAGTTTTTTCTTCATTCCATTAGAATGCAATGTTTGTACATGGAGGAGAAACAAATCAATTATGAAGTCTGCAAAGAATTTATTACAGGCTGTATTTCACTTCGCTATGAAATGATGACTGAATTCATTATCATTAGGATTTGAATCTTCTTTTCCTTCTCTGGCAGTCATTTGAATAACAGCTATTTCTGAACCATGGAGTATTGTCCAACTTGAAAGTGTCTTGGCCTGTAACTTCTGAGTGAACATATTTTAATGTAGTTATTGGCTGCCTTTCGAAAGAAAATTACTGCTTTGAAAAAGAGTAAGTCCACCATTGATCTTGCTGGAAAGATCAGGGCAGCATCATCGCTCTTCTCCCTGCTTCGCCTCTAGGAGGACGAGAATCTGTGTTACATGAGGAGGTAGTTGGCGATTCTGGTTTGAATGCATGGACAGCCCTTGTGTAATGTTCATGACCTAGAGCCCTGCTGCCACAGTGGTTCCTGAGAAGCTGCTGGAGACCTTGACAGCTGAAGGGCAGTACATCTGTGTAACAGCTGTCAGCAGCATCCTCCCCAGGTCCCACCACAGTCTTAACTGCTAGACAGAGCATGGACAGCAGAAACGGGGAGAGTTTTCTGACTGTGGAAACTGACAAGGGAAGGTGAGGCCCACTTACCATCAGCTGAGCTGCTGGACCAGAACTGGCCATTGGGAAACACTGTGAGGCTGAAATTAAATAGGGACAGCAAAGAATCAATGTTTGGTAAAGTGAATCGCCTAAGGGTCCACTGTCATAAATGTATTTTGCAAATGAGAATCCAATTCTACGTGTTATCTTTTGCTCCTGATCATAAAGAATAGGCAAGAAAAGTAGTAGCCTTTCCAGAAATGAGGTGGTTCTGTGCACAGCTAATTCATACTCACAAAAAGTAGACTGTCTTTCAGGGCCACGCCTATGATCCAGTGTGCTGCAGACTTGGTTAGGGAAGACTTTAATTATCTGACTGAGACATAACTGTTCATGATTGCGCTCTGTAAGTCAGGAGCTCAGTGACATAGCTATAGAAGACATAGAAATCTTTCATCCTAGCATGCTTCAAGATGTGGATTCCAAGTCAAACCAGGTTCATGTTTCTGGTTCACTGCCTCATCTTTAGTAGCAGGTGATGTGGGATGAATGGAAAGGGAAGAGAACTTAAAGGAAAATAATGGAAGCACTGTTTTCTGTATTTAATGAAAATAGTTCATTTATATCTATTTGTCCTTCAAATTAGGTCAATACCTTAGAACCTCCATGTGGTTCAATGACTAAATCTGGGGTGAGAATTTGAACATGTTCTGACTGAAGATTGAAGGACTAGAATTTAAGTTTATGTCAATCTTGGCATGTTAGGCTTGGTTTATTCATTCCAGTGTCCTTGAAGATAGAATGCAAAGCAGGAATCGCAGCTCTCTACTTCTCATTAGGTGCTTCTGTTTGCTCTCCTTTGTGAGTTTAGCATCATGCCCTCATGGGACCTTTTATAAAACAAAGCCTTAACATTTAAAAGTGCATGTATTAGGGCTGGAGATGTGGCTCGGGTGATACAGTGCTTGTGTGGCACGCAGAAGGCCCTGGGTTCAGTCCCCAGCATCACATAAACCTGGCGTGGTTGTACATGCCTGAAGTCCTAGCAAGAGGATCAGACGTTGAAAGTCATCCTTAGCTACATAGCAAATTCCAGGCCAGGCTGGGATATATGAGACACTGTCTCAAAACAGTAAATAAATAAAAATAAAAGCACCTGAATTAATGATTTAACCTAAAATAGTTTAAACATTTTGCATATCCATTTTGAAAGAAACATTTTGTACGTTTATTTTTACAATCACCCTTCAAACAGAAAGACTTTACAAATTGGTGTTTTGAATTGGCATACAGATGACATTAATACATCTGTGCAATGTCTGGACTAGACCCTCAGCTTTGCTTTGAGAGCCTGTTCCTGAATAAAGATGAACTCCATTGTCTATCAATTGACTTAATAACACCTCTGTGAAATGAAGTAATTGGCAAATAATGAAACTAGAAACAATTCTGGAAGTAAGTGACCTGCAAAAGGTTATATAACGAGGCAGCTGTGCTGCCAGGGAACCCTGCAGCCATCTCTACCTCTTCAGACACCTCAGATGAGTTTTTTTGAGGCAATTTAGTAACAACTGACATGACCTTGTTTTTTCACCGTGGTATTTTGGGGTCCCAGATGTGTTCTGATCTTGTTCAGTTTTGGCATACTTTGTTGATGCTGCCTTGTTTAAGTTGATGTTTTCTGATACCACCTTAAAGACAAGTAGCATGAATTTAATTAGTTCTTGCAACAATCTCTTATAAAGCTACACAATGGGATAACCCCCCCCCATTTAAAGTTAGTTTGGTTTGACACATAACACATATCAAATATTTGTTGGATGAGTAAGAGAAGGAATGAATTAGCTTGGAGCTGTGGCAAGGGGGATCTTTTAGTTAGATACTGCGGTGAGCTCTGACTGTTGAACTGGAGGCTAGCATTGGGAATATCTTGGTACCAATGGTTTGAATTTGTCCCCGAAGTTCACATGGTGGAAACTTAATCCGTAATACAAATGTCAGAAGGTGGGGTCTGAGGAACAGTGTTTAGGTCACAAGGGATCCACCCCTGTGAATGGATTACTATTGTTATTGTGAGAATGGGTTCCCTGACACAGGAGTGGGTTTCTAGTGTATAAGTGTGTTGTGCACCACATGTGTATGTGCACCACATCCATGCCTGGTGCCCACAAAGGCCATAAAAGAGCATTAAATTTCCTGGAACTGGAGTTACAAACAGTTGTGAACAACCATGTAGCTGTTGGAAGTTGAGCCCAGGTCCTCCGTAAGCAGCCAGTGCTCTTAACTGCCGAGCCGTCCCCCCTCTACCCCAGATGTAGTTTCTAATGGAGTCTGGGCCCTTTTCTCTTTTGCTTTCTCTTGGTTCTTCTAAAAACCAACTTGGGGAGGAAAGGGTTTATTTGGTTTACAATTCAGTCCATCATGAAGAAAAGCCAAGGCAGGAACCTGAATGCCGGAACTAAAGCATTCCACAGACTATGGAAAAATGCCGCTTACTGGCCTGCTTTCTTATATGATGCAGGAAAACCAGCCCAGGGGTGGCACCACCCACAGCAGGCTGGGCCTTCCTACATCACTCAGCAATCAAGAAAATACCCTGTAGATGTGGCCACAGGTCAATCTAATGGGAGGAAATGCTTCAATTGGGGGTCCCTCTATCCAGGTGTGTCAAGTTGACAACTGAACCAATTTCTGCCCTATTTTCTAGTACTGTGATAAAAGACATTGATCAAGGGGCTAGAGAGATGTCTCAGTGGCTTATAGTACCAGCTGCTCTTGCAGAGGACTCGGGGGTTTGGATACCAGCACCCACATGGTGACAGCCATCCATAACTCCAGTTCCAGGGGATCTGATGCCCTCTTCTGACCTCCTCAGGCATTGCATGACACGGGCACACTTACATACATGCAGGCAACACACTCATATACATAAAATAAAAATAATAAATAAAATACTAAAAAACATTGTCCAAACCACTTTGGGGAGGAAAGAGGTTCTTTTTGCCTTACATCCTCCTGGTCACAGTTCATCACTGAGGGAAGTCAGGGAAGGAACTCATGACAGGAACCTGGAGACAGGAGCTGAAGCACAAATCATGGAGGAATGCGGTTTCCTGGCTTGAGCCTTGGCCTATGGTCTGCCTACTTTCTTATGGAACCCAGGACCATCTGCCCAGCCATGGCACAGCCCACAGTAGGATCAGTAGGATCTCATATCACTCAACAATCATGAAAATGCCCACAGATATGGTCACAGGCCAATCCAGTGGAGGAAATTCCTCTCTACCTAGGTGTGTCAAGTTCACAACTGATGCTGTTAAGCACTTGTGGGCCTTTCCTCCTTATTGTAATCAAAATAATCCCTACGGGATGCTCAGAGACCCATTTCCCATTCAAGTTGACAGTTAACAGTAAGCATCACGGCCCCTTCCCAGTCTCAAGAACTATAAGAAAAAAAATTATATTGTATGTTTAAATAATTAAGAGATGAATGAATTAATGCAATTAGCCGGGCATGGTGATACATGTTTATAACTCCAGCACCCTGTCTCCACAAAATAAAATAAGTACAAATTTAATGTTTTTCAAAGTACATTTAGAGTTGTAGCCTCCTGATTATAACCAATTGTAGGACATTTTCATTTTCTTTATTAGAAATCCTAAGCCCACTAAATTATTCCTCATCCTTCACAACCCATCTGCCCTAGAGAGCCACCACCCCAACTTTCTCTCTAAAGCCATCCGTCCTGGATGTTGCACATGTTTATATAGAATCAGGTCATAGCTGGTCCTTTGAGACTGGCTGGGTTCACTCACCTAATGTTTTTAATGCTCATCCAGTAGCATCTGTCGTCTCGTCAATCTTATTGTCGTAGAATGTTCCATTATATCCATATTCA